ACGAAGTGTCTGTAGCTGTGCGAATAAAATGTCCCTCCTGGACGTGCAGCTTGGGGATCGATAATTCTGTGCCAGCACCCTCGCTGTAAAGCCAGAATCCTGCCACGTCCCCTCGAGACTGGACGTGATCTCTAGCCACCCTCCTCCAGCACCCCATCCCCAGTGTAGGATGCGGCAACTTGCCTGAATGAAGAGCGGCTGGTCACGTGGTCTGGTCGCCATGACAACGGGTCCCTTCAGGCGAGGTAAGCATCAAAGTCACATGAGAACCCCAGAAGATTGGCCGAGGTATTTATAGCAGCAGGCTGGTGCTTTTATGGAAATGGGTCTATATTTGACTCAGGTACAGAAAGCTCTGTGCCGGCCCCGGGGAGAGGCAGGTCTTACATCTCATTCTCCTTTCCCAAGCCTGGAGGGGGGTGCCCAGTCCCCAGCCTTCCTCTGTGCCTCGGCACATCCCCTTCCCCGCACTGGTCCCAGCTGCCGCACAGCAGATCCCCTTCTGTTTACAAGCAAAGCCTTACTCCTGGCTGGGAGTTTGGGGGCCCAGGCTGCTGGGCAGGTGGGCAATTGAGGACACCGTCCTGCACCCCTCGCCCAGGTACCACCAAGAGAAATGTCCCTGCAGCGCCCAGTAAATGCCAGAGGTTACTGTGGTCACTCAGAGCCTCGCCACTTCTTCCTGCTGTGTGGGGAGGAAGCTGCTAACTGGAGGAAGGAGATATTGTAGAGAGAGAGCCTTGGGAGGGACGGATGTTCCAGAAAAGCAAGGAGATGCTGATGGTGACTTGTTTGTTGAGCACTCGCCGATGTATGTTTTCTCAGTGAACATCACCACACCCAGTGCTGTAGACACCACTGTTACCCATTTTACAGATGGAGACGTAATCTGTGTGATCTTCTAAATGACTGGATCTGGGTTCCCTCCTGGACTCGGGGTTCTGCTTCGTATTTCTCAGGACTAGGGCCGCACTGACTTATACTTGTAGCTTCCCAATGTGCCTTACCCGTGGGTAGGCGGATTCCCAGCACACCTGTTACTCGCCTGCTCATTTCCTAGCTAATGGTTTGTTTTTCCTAATGAATCTTAGAAGCAGCTTGACTGATTACAAAGAAAAAAGTAACCCTTTTGTTATTTCCATCGAGTCCTTTTAAAATTATAAATTAATTTATATGTTTTCTCTCCCAATCTGAGAATATCATTTCTTTTCTTACGTCCAAATGCCCTTTACGAACTCTCAGTAGCATTCAGATGCTTTCTTCATGGAGGATATGCTACACATCTTTTAAAGTTTGTTCCAGGTGTTCTTTTCTGGTTCTTGCTCTTGTAACTAAAGCATTCCTTATATTTCCTCACTGGTTGGTATATTGGAAGGTTATGATATTTTACATGTTAATTTTACATATGTCACATTCATGCATCTTTTTTATGTTTTTTTTTAGTTGTGAATTATTTTTTAAAATATTTTTTATTGATTTCAGAGAGGAAGGGAGAGGGAGAGAAAAATAGAAATATCAATGATGAGGATTATTGATTGGCTACCTCCTGCACACCCTCTTACTGGGAGTGAGCCCGCACGCACGCAACCTGGGCCTGACCAGGAATTGAACTGTGACCTCCTGGTTCATAGGTCATCACTCAGCCACTGAGCCTTGCTGCCCGGGCCGAATTATTTTTCAAATGAAGCTTTCAGCCTTTAAGAGGAGAACACACACACACACACACACACACACCCCACCCTGGGGTAAGTGGCTATTTCATAATTCAGTGAGTTGCTAAGTGTAGGATATTTAGAGCAGTGCCTAGCCCATCTTTTGAGTTACTGGTAATAGCAGCAGTCATAACACGGCCTTGAGTTTACACAGGGTCTTATTTCATTTAATCCTTAACGACCCCATGAGGTTAGAGAAGGGATTATTATCTCCATTTCCCAGATAAAGAATCTGAAGGTCAGAGATACGAAGTAGTTGGTCAGAGGTCCCCTGGTAAGGTGGTGCTGGATCAGAACCCGTGTTTCTCTGACTGCACCTCACAGCATCTCACCGAGAGGCCAGGCCAGGCCTGTTGCCAAGTGGAGGGTCCCTGGCGTCGCTCTTTTTGATTTGTGTCCTGGGTGCCCACGCAGGGGTGTGCCTCGCTGGGCCACCCCACCCCACCCTGCTCAGTAAGGACTCTGGATCTAGTCACCGGGGCAGCTTTCTAACCACTGAGTCCCAGCAAAGGGACAGACTGGGGCTGGCCTGCGTTTGTGCGGCTCCCTTATAGCCTCCCAACGGAAGTGGCAGCCCCATGCTGACAGGCCAGGCCTCCACAGGAGGCCTTCTCTCCCACCTGTCCCACGCCCACAGCTTCCCTCGGGGCCAGCGAGGTCAGAGATCTGAGGAGTCCCATCACCTGCTCCTCCCTGCTTGCTCTGTATTCCTCTGCAGTGTCTGTCCTCTTGCTCCAGACAGGAAGCAGGAGGGACCTGTTAACGCAACCCTGTACTTGAACCTGTAATCTCACACGCGTAGCTCAGACTGCAGCTACTTCTGCAGTGTGTCACTTCTGGTTTTTAAAAACTTATTTTTATTGATTTCAGAGAGAAAAGGAGAGGGAGAGAGAGAAACATCAATGATGAAGTTCCCCGCCAGGCTTCGAGTCCCGAAACCTGAGCATGCGCCCTAACTGGGAATTGAGCCGTGACCTCCTGGTTCATAGGTCAATACTCAACCGCTGAATCACCCTGGCCAGCTGATACCCATATTTCTAACCACGCTTTCTGTATTCTTTTTTAAAAATATATTTTATTGATTGTTTTTACAGAGAGGAAGGGAGAGTGATAGAGAGCTAGAAACATCGATGAGAGAGAAACATCGACCAGCTGCCTCCTGCACACCCCCTATCGGGGATGTGCCCGCAACCAACGTACATGCCCTTGACCGGAATCGAACCCGGGACCCTTCAGTCCGCAGACCGATGCTCTATCCACTGAGCCACACCGGTTTCGGCGCTTTCTGTATTCTTTCAGCAAATCTGCATGGACAGTCCACTCTGTGTTGAAGACAGGCATGGCCTCTGCCCTGTGGAATGTCCGCAGCAGCCAAGGCAGCCCTCACTCAGCAGCTGGTCTCGCCATGAAGCAATTAATGACATTGTGACGAAGGCTACGGAGGAGAAGACCTGTCCAGCGGGGAGGCTGACCGAATGCTTCTCCACGGTCAGCAGAGGCGTGAAGAGCTGGGGTCCGAGACGAACTCTCAGGTGAGTGGGCAGGGAGTGAGGGGGGAGGGAAGAGGGGACCTTGGCAGAGAGGGCACAAGCGCTGAAGGCCGAGTCAGGAAGGAGTGGGCTAGTCGGAGCTGAGAGAAGGTTGGGGCAGGGAGTGGGTGCGGGAGAGGCCGTGGGAGGGGGTGTGAAATGAGCCGGGGGATGTGGAGGGCCTTGAAAGACCTGCTAAGGATGGGGGCGCAACTGTGAGCTCGAGAAGGATCCACTCATCTCGGTGCTGCTGAAAGGGGGGCATGGCGGCCATCTTTTTGAGGATGTGTGCCTAGCACACAGCTTTGGAAGCTGGAGATGGTGTCTCCCAGTGGGGGACAGGCTGGCTTGCTGTCTGGGATGATACGATACTAAGTATAGTGACATCTGGGGCCAAGGGTGGGCAGGTGTGCTGGCCGCCCGCTATAAAAGATGGGGCTCCCCAGCCTGGGCAGTGTTACCTGAGCACAGCCCCACTTCCCTCCCGTGGACTCGGGGAAGGAAAGCTGATTTGACTGAAGCTCGAGCTTCCTGCTGAGCCTGGAGGAATACGATCCTTTGTCTCTGGCCCAGGAGCCTCATGTCTCCTGCCAGCATTCACCAAACTGCCAGGCTCACTCGTTAGACAGCAAGGGAAGAATCCCAGAGCCCCCGGAGCTCAGGACTGCAGTCCTGTTGCCTTTCCGTAGGGACCCCTGAGACAGCTGCCACCTCCCATCCTTCCCAAACGCCTGGCCTGTGTCTCATGCCAAGGTCCCCTTAGCGTCCTCTAGAGCAGCGGTCCCCAGCCTCACGGACCTCAAGGATGGCTGGTTGGTGGCTGCTGTTCTGGATCAGAGGTGATTCATCCCAGACGCTGCAAACAGCCCCCCAAGGCTCTGGAGCACGGCTCCTGCCTGTCTACCTTCCTCCACCCACATCTGCTCCAGCTCAGGCATTCACGTCCCGCCCGCCCCCCTGCACACCTCCGCTCTCATGTGCCTTTGCTCTTGTCATACTGGCCCCTCCACAAGGTTCATCCTTGTCCCCTTCCACCTCTGAGGCCAGGATCCTACCTCACCTCCTCCATGAGGCCTGCCCAGAGCCCGGGCAGAACCTCCCCCTCCCTTCACCGTCCCCCACTTGCCTTATCTTCCAGGGTCTTCAGACCTCCTGCCTGGCACCGTGGCTGTCTGGGCAAACCTCTCCATTTTTGTCCTCCAGGCCCCCCGCCACCATTCCTGCTGTCCCACCCTGCAGCCTGTGCCCAGGCAGGAGCTCAGGAGCTGAGCGATGGATGCACCAGGCACTGGGCTGCACAGGAAGTGACCCTCCTGGGAGAAGGGATGGAGGACCGTGGGGCAGAGAAGACATTCCCAGTGAGGAGCAGAGGAGGTGCACGGCTGCTGGGGGGTTCTAAACCCGCGTTGGGTGGTCTGAGTTCACGAAGGGGACTGAAGAGATGGGCCTGAAAGGATGAAGAAAGGAGGGCCAGGGCTCAGGAGGGCCTTGGCCACGGGGGTCCCGTTCTGCTCTGAGGGCAGAAGCCCCAGTGACTCCTCTCCAGAGTGTGGACCCTCCGAGGGACCTCCAGAGACTGCTGCCAGGGCACTCGCCCACCCCCTGCTGCCCACCCCCTCCTCCCGCCCACCCCTCCTCCCCCGCCGGCCATCAGAGTCTCGCCCAAAGCCTCGCACTGACGCGGGCCGCGTGAGTGAGTCAGGCCTGCGTCACGGCCCCCGCCGCCCGCCGGGGTGGCCTTTCGGATGCGAGGGAGCAGCCGGCGCGCCGCGCCCCGCCCAGCCCGTTCCGCTCCGCGGCGCCGGCGTGACCGTGACCGGAGCGCGGGGAGGCGGCGCTCGGTCCTGGATCCGCAGCCCCACGGGCGCCCTCCGCCGCGGGACCGAGACCCCGGGCCGCTCCCCAGAGGCTGAGCGGAGCCGGCGGACCGGCGGCGCGGGAGGGAGGGAGCGAGACGCCAGCAGAGCCGGCGGCGCGCGGCTCCGCGGCCCCTCTTTGCCCACCGGTGCCCGGTGCCGCCGGACCTGGGCACCTGGAGGAGGGTCCGGGACCGGGGCCGCAGCCGCTCCGGGGAGCGCGGGGGCAGGTCCACGCGGCGGTCCCGCGGGGACAGGTGAGTTGGGGCTCGCTCTGCCCGGCTCCGCGGGGTCAGGCGCCGCAACTTTAGCTGCTCGGCCCCGCCCCGGCCGGGGAGGCCTGGGAACCGGGGTGCAGCGGGGGGCGCTGCCCGGGCATCCTCCGGCTCAGCCCGGGCTCCTCCCCGCGCTCCGGCCTCCGTTGCCTGGAGACGGAGCCCGGGAGCCGCGCTCCTCGCACGCATCCATCGGGGTGTCTGGCGCCGAGCTCAGGGGCTGGACACCTGCCGCTATAGCTTCAGCTTCCGGGCCTGAATGGGCCCGAGGACTCCGGGGCTGCCGGGGCGGAGCTGCGGGGCTGGCGCCCTCGGACCCGGGAGGGAGGAGGCCGCGCGCTCAGGGCCAGTTCCCGCGGGGAGGCTCCTGCAGACCATGCCGCTCGCTCCGGGCCCGTGACCTTGACGGTATCATTGGCAGCAGCAGAGCGCTCCTGCCCGAGATGAGTGTTTAATTCCCGTCCCAGGGCCGGTCCTCGCTGGGTTCCCAGCCAGCGGGAAGCCCCTACTCCCTGGAGGTAAGCGCATCGGAGCAGAATGGCGGAGACGGGAGGCGCGAGGGGGGCAGGTCTCCGGGGCGCCCCCTCCGGAGAGGGGCCTCCGCTGCGTTTACACCTGTGCCTCTGGGGCTCGGATGCCCGCTGCTCTCCAGGGCGCAGTGGAAGGAAGCCTGTGTTTCCCTTTAAATCCCAAACAGCCCTGTCAGGCCTCCCAGGGTTCAGAAACCCTGAGGCCTCTCACCTTACAGGGCCAGGTCGCTGTCAAGAGGAATTTTTTTTTTTTTTAAACAAAACAATTTGATCCCACTCCTCTTTCCTTGGAGAAGTGTTTTAACTAGGTCTTTGGATTAGGAAGTTTTTAACCAGACCTGCCTTTGGGGCAGTTCAGCTGTGCACACGAACCTGGGGGCGCTGGATTGGAGAGAGGAAGATTCGTTGGAGGGCACTGCCCTCGTGAGCAGGGATTTCCAGAAACTAAGAAGATCCTGGAGGACAAAAAAAAAAAAAAAAAAATCGGTAAAAACTTTCGTTAGATCCTGTTAGGCTGTGCAGGATTCGCCGATTGCTGTCTGGAGAGCAAGGTCAGAGTGTGTGAGGGTAACCGTGGGGGCTGTTTATCTGATGCTGCGCTTACGTTACCCCAGGGCCTAGTGAGGCGGGTCCGACCCCTGGGCGGGAAGGGCTTGGAGGTCACGCCTGATTGTCCTTGGCCGTGGCCCTGGGGACCATCGGCACCGCCAGCTCCTCTGCTGGCTTTCTCTCAGACGGAGCAGCTGTGGCTAGGTAGGTGGCGAGTCTCAGCGAATCCCCGCGGCTCAGCCTGGAGGTGACTCAGTGCGGGAGGCACACCGGGCCCACTCGCTCTGATCAGAGTGATTTTTGTTCGACCTGAGTCACAGGCAGCATGGTGTCAGCTGCCGGTGAGTTGAATGGGACTTGTGTTTGGGACCCACCAACCAGAAGTGGGCAGGTCCTCAGAGGGAGCCAAGTCCTCAGACTCCGGCTGCCTGGCTCCGGGCAGGGGCTTTGGAGGGCTGGCCCCGGGGAAAGGCGAGCAGGGTCAGGCTGGGTGGGGAGGTGGCGGAGAGGCTGCAGGGCAGGCGCTGGGATTGTGGTCAGAACAGCCCAGGGCTCTTCCACGTGCCAGCGTGGGGTGACCTTGGGCGAGTCAGTCTACCCCTGGAGCCTTGGTTTCCTCAGTGGACAAACAGGGACAGCCATGGTGCCTGCGCCACAGGCTTATTCTGGGCCCAGGGTGGCCATAGAGTGGGTGCTCAGTAAGTGAGTTCCTGCCTCTTTCTTTATTTGCAGAAGGGGTTCTTCCCCTCCCTGCCCTCACTCCTTGGGGTGGAGACAGAGGACAGTGACAGCGGGAGAAGCACCCGCAACTCAGCTGCAAACTGACCTACTTCCGTCCCTCAGTTCTACCAGGAGCCCCGGGACGGGGAAGCCGAGTGAACGCGGGGCTGGTGGGGACCTGGGTGTGCAAGGTGCCCCGGGCTGGCTGCGAGGGCTCCAGGGTGAGACTCCGGCACAGACCTGGACTCCTTACGATTGTCCGTGACTGCGGCCTGGTTCCAAGTGACATGCCTGCCGGGCAGACGGCAGGGGTCCTTGCCCCTGGAGCAGGTCTTGCCACCCTCCTCCTCACATGCCCCTTCTATAGGGGCGTGGAAGCTGCAAGACTGTGTTCCCTGCCTTCGCCGAGGGACTCGGGCTCCCTCCGCTGTAACGTGTGTGGACCTGGTGGCGAGCTGAGATGTGTTCGCCTCCAGAGTGGAGGCGATGCTCCGTGGCTGGCCATCGACCTCTGAACCTGGAGGTCACGTCACGGTTTGATTCCCAGGTGGGGCACATGCCTGGGTTGCAGGCTTGATCCCCAGTGAGGGGGGATGCAGGAGGCAGCCAGTTGATGATTCTCTCTCATCACTGATGTTTCTATCCCTCTCTCCCTCTCACTTTCTCATATATATATATATATTATATGAATATATATATATATATATATATATATATATTTTTATATATATCTATATCTTTCTTTTTTTCTTTTTTTAAAGAGTGGAGGCAGTAAGGGGGATTCCCAGTGTAGCAAAAAGGCCAGCTGACCCAGGGGACTCTAGCTTGTTCCTGGAAATGAGTGTGTGTGTGTGTGTGTGTGTGTGTGAGGGGCACACACACCCTGGAAATCAGTGCCCTTCCCACTGGATCTGGCAAATTCCGAGGTGCTAGAGACTCCTGAGGAGCAGGCGCCTTCTGTCTGGGCACCTTTTCTCCCCTCGTGCCGGTTGGATTTGCTGCAGGAGCACAATTCATCACTAATCCCTGCAAAGCTGCTAAGATAAGCAGCAGAATATTTAAGGGGAGGGTGAATTGGGGCTTTTCCCCCTAGAAGCAGGTCTGACTTATCGCCCGCTCCCAGGCTGAGCCCAGGAAGTCCTCACAGCCACACATCTGGAGCCCGGATCGCCGGGGAGGGAAATAAACCGTTACTCAGCCCTGCAAAGCCCTCCTACATCAGCTACTCCCCTCCCCCCTCTCCTGCTGTCCCGGGCTCTCAAAGGTCAGATGCACAGTACCCTGAGTAGAGCTGTTAGTACACGGCCCCAACTGAGGCGGGATGGGGGGATCCATGGGAAAATGGCTAATCTCTGAGCTTTAGGGGGGCGGGTGCAGCAGCTCACCCTGGTCTTGGCACCTGGCGATAATGTCCTGATTTTTATGGAGGCTTCTGGGCTGTGCTGAGCACATTATTCATACACCATCTTGTCTCATTTTTGCTACCATCCCAGGAGACCCATCTTGCTCTTGGTGGTTGTACAGATGTGGGACTTGAGGCTCAGAGAGGTTAACTAACTTGGTCAAGGTCACCTGAGTAGTGCGTGGCAACCTGAGCATCAGAACTCAGGTCTGTGAGGCTCCAGACTTCCTGGGCCATGGTGTGATGTGTCCCGTTATTAGTTCTTTACAAATGCTGGCTAACGATCGAGGCATGTAGCCAAGTGAGACTGTCTCAATGTGTGTGCCGTTCTTGGATGTCACGCCCTGAGAAAGGGGGCAGGGAGCCTCCGCCAACGGGAAGTTGGTAGAGAAGGGTCAGACCTAAACTGGTGAGGTTGGGGGACGTGGTACGTGCTTGCATGTGGGTGGGTATCCAGAAGAAGGTCATATCCAGCTTTCTCTCTGGGACTTCTGCCTCCCTGGCCTCCTTCCCTCCTAGGTTGTCAGGCCGGGCTGGTGCGGGGGCAGTGAGGGGAGAGCGTAGCAGGCTGGGTCCCTCCATTTGTCCAGACTGGGGCTGGTGCTGGGGCAGTGAGGGGAGAGAATAGCAGGCTGGATCCCTCCATTTGTCCAGACTGGGGCTGGTGCTGGGGCAGTGAGGGGAGAGCGTAGCAGACCGGATGGTGCCTGGAGGAGACCTCCTGCATCTGCAGAGTGGGAACTGGGCGGGGCAGGTTTCTCTGCAGGAGCAGAGGCCGTGCAGAAGCGCCTGCTGAGACCTGAGCAGCACTGCTCACACGTCAGGGCTGCTCAGAGGAATGCTGCTGCTCTCTGGTCTTGTCCCCCGGACAGTCCACCTTCCTCACTTGGGGGCTCTGCCCCTTACGTCCTTGGCATTCTGGGAAACTTGGCATCTGCTTCCTCCTGCTTGGCCATCTCTTCTCTCTCTGAGAAATCACCCCGAGGCACAGGCCCACACTGGCCTCGCCCGCCTGGCACCTCCTAACCACCCTTGATCTTGGTGGGAAGGTCCTATGAGTGAGGGTGGATCCGTGTAGGTATTAATGCCCCTCCACCCCACTAGTGGATCCCCAGGCCTTTCCAGACACCCTGCTTCATGGGCATCCATTCTGTGGAGATGGCTCTGATACCCACCCCTCCCCACCCAGCATGACTAATTTAAAAAATACAAGCATGGTTCATCTATGGCGATATCCAGGCATTCAGAAACATAGTTAGGTCTTTACTGTACAAGAAGCTCACATGTGGGAGCAGGAGCTCAGGTTCAAGGCGACCAGGGGAGTTGCTGGACTGCATTATCCTCACGTTCAGAACCAGGTATACCCATGAGAGGACAGTTCTGGGTCAGGTGAGTTCCGGGCAGCCTGAGTGCCCACCTTGGGAGGTGGGACTTGAGGGCCTCACGGGGCCTCATGGGGCAGGCGTGGGGCCAGAGGAAGTCACGCCCCAGCTCCCAGGCCTGGGGTCATCTCCCCGGCCACCCTGGTCCCACCGAGCTGCCACTCTGCCTGCCAGAGCCATCGGACGGTTCGCTTAAGGTAACAAGTTGCCTCTCGCTGCAGTCCATCATTTCTAATTGCTGGCTTAATTAGAACTTCTGCTGAGTTCCTTGCACCGCTAATTTGCCACCTATTTCAGTTGCAAGTAGAATTCATTGGTCCACACCCCAAATTCCTGCTGGTTGCATCTTCCCTTTAATTATAAGACGCCTGAGCTCCAGTGGTTTTAGATTCCACTGGA